AAAGTCAAAAAACAACTAGTATATATTTACTTGAAATAGAACAAAGAAAAACGAGAATCTAAATATGGCGACTTTTATATATATTACATGAGTTTAGATCAGGTAGGTACTTGCAGACATTACGGCGGAAAGTACGACGACTTGTCCGCCACATATTTTTATTTACTTAATTATATTAATTTATCTTAGGAGCTGCAGTTCTGAATGGACAGATTGTTTACTGCGGGGGATATGTTAATGGTGGTATGCAACTTAGGAGTTGATACATAAAATTTAATTACATTATTACTTTTATTAATATTTAAACCTATCTATTACTTAATGATTATTCAGTGCTAAATCCATATTCAAAGTTTCCCTATTAAAACAGATGATTAAGGATGATAATTTATACATTTTATATTGGAAATTCTTAAATATTTAGGTTTTATATTTTAGAAATAATTGCTATAAAAAAGTAACTTAACACATTCTAATTCTGTTATCCAATACCTTTGCAACCTGATGTTGTTGACCTTAGGCATTTTTATTACTACGAATACTATTAGATGAAATTGTTTAAAGTTTAAAGTATCAATGGTTTACACCATCAGATTCAAAGATATAGGGATTAGAAAATTTAAGTTTGTGGCGAGTAATCTAGTTCTTTTAATAAAGAATATTAGACATAAGTGCAGAAATTAGTTATTTTACTGATACCTTTCATAGAAACTGAGTCTTTGCCACAATTTTATAATCCTTACAACTTTGCCACATTATGGTGTAAACTTTTGATATTTTAAACTTAGAATATTTGATAAAACAGAATTCATAGTTTGAAAGATTGTAAAATCAGAGTTTGTAGCAAAGACTCAATTCATTTTAAATTCAACTATTATTCTTTGATGCAATAAACCTTTCTTTGTGCAATTTACGTTTAAAGAACTAAAAATTGGAGCATTTTAATATTTTAGTATTCTGCTAGTTTGTTTAAGAGTTACAGCAAGTCCTAAAAAGTAACTAATCAAAACTATTTTTATACTTGCTTTGCTATCACTCAGAACTGTTGACATCATATTTAAAATTACAATCAAATATTTTTCTAATTAAATAAATAGATTCAATACAAAATAAAAAAAAATGGAAGGAGAGGGGATTCAAACACATTGTAATGTAAATAAACTGTGTTAAACTCCTAAATGTTGCAAACCTATACAGCTATAGGTATCATCAGGTAGAATGTAGTGAACTAATGAAAACTAATAAATCAAACAATAATAAAATATAGAATATAAATTATATGTATTAAAAAAGATAAAAATTCACAAAATAAAAGTTTAAATTGAATATTTTTGTTTAGAAACTGCTTCAAGAATGAGGGAATGGACTGGATAGAGTTTGAAAGTATGAATGTGGCTAGATTTTGGTTTACCCTGACTACACTAGGAGACAAGATACTTGCTGCCGGAGGAAGAGATACTCCAGAGGGGTATGTTCTATATTTATTCTTATTTGTTTTATAAACCTTTTTGTTCTTAATTGATTATCTAGCTTTCTTTGTTATTAAAAAATGTATGCTTCTAAATTAAAATATTTAATTATTATATAAACATTCTCACAAACTGGAATACTTCAGTCAAACCCCTTCACCTGTGTCAGTTGAAATAATATATTTGTTTAATAGGAATACTGCTACTGTGGAGGTGTTTGATGGATCCTCCTGGAAGCTTCA